ATTTATATATAGTTTTTTTCTTGTCAAAAGTCCACTTAGGCCTATTCAATTACTTTAGAATATCTTCTCTATATTACTATTGTACTAGTATTAGTGTTCTGTGTGTGATTCACTTACAGTTGTGGTGCAAGTTACCGTAATTCGTTAGGTCTTCTTTCTTCTCAAGATCCTCTGTTCCTTTTGTCAAAGTGTACCCAGGCTGATCCAATTACTTTAGAACCATGCTTTGATGGAATAAAATTATCCTTCTTATCTCTTTTTATATTGTTAATTTCACTCTAACATATTAAATGTTAGGCCTATGTCAATCATTAGGCCTATCACACCTACGGTACTTAACTTCACACAGCTATACTCTCTTCTGCTATTATCTGTCTATTGTTGTGCCTGTTGCTTCCTGCTCGTCTCACGCTATTTATATCTTTATTACATAGTCGTCTGGCCACTTTCTGTATTCTTGACATCAATTAGTTATTAACAAAACTTTCTAGAATCATGTTTTTAACTTATTATAACAAACTTAAAAATAATAAAGTATTCACTCACAAATATAAATTAATACTAACATTTAAACCAAACAGTCTTTTATATCATGACAATTTCAGTGCATGTTAAAATACCCTGGTCTTCAGTGTACGATGCTGTGATAGTCACAGTTAACATTAGCTTGAAACTCCAAGTCTCAAGTTCTGGAAGCCAAAGTCAGGTAAATTTCTGATGAAACCAATACATGATTTTTGACATATATTAAAAATGTGTGTGTCTACGTATGTATATATAAATATACGTTTCTGACAATAGCTTATTTCACAATTCATAGTCTTGTTCTAATCTTATCAGTACTTCTGTATGTAGACCATATACACTTCCTTACTGTCTTTTGTGACAACAATTAGTTAAGATACCATAACCTTGTAAGAACATACAGAAGTGGTCCTGTTCTGCGAGGAACTTGGACTGGGTCAATGGAAGGTCTCAACAGTTTTTTAAAACTGGTTCTGTGGCCAGTCATTTCTGTAATGGAAGTCCTTCTACAACAATGAATAAGGTACAGTGGCAAGCTGTCACTTAGTAATCCAACTAGATCAACTTGCATCAATACAAAGAAGTATGCTGAAGTAGCAACTTCCATCCTCACAAACTTTCATATATCCCCCAAGTTGACTAAAGTGGAGTTTTGGACACACGAGGCACATCATCTTATGTCAACAATAAACCACAACTATTGATACTCACAAACTACACTAGGAAGTAGACAGAGTGATGATTTGAAACATTTGACTAGAGAAAGCTCTTGGTGTTGTATGGGTTGTCAAAATGTACACACTAGTGGCATGGCCTGCATGCTTTCCTGATATTACACCATTGTGTAATGACACATAAAGATAGGGCATCTTAGGCTAGTGCCAAGGCCTGCATACTCTCCTCATCTTACACCACTGTGTAACAAAACACAAAGATAGGACATCTTAGGCTAGTGGCAAGGCCTGCATACTCTCCTGACCTTACACCATTGTGTAACAACACATAAAGATAGGACATCTTAGGCTAGTGGCAAGGCCTGCATACTCTCCTGACCTTACACCATTGTGTAACAACACATAAAGATAGGACATCTTAGGCTAGTGGCAAGGCCTGCATACTCTCCTATTCTAAATCCATTCGATTTTCCCCTTTGGAAAATACATCAAATATTTGGTGTTTGTCACATGTCTAAATAGCCTGGAAGATTCAAAGCTTCTTGAGTCATAAAGAAAAAGATGTCATCATATTCACGTTTAGAAAGCTGTTAGGGCATGACTTGTAAAGCACAATGTAAATTATTATGTATAAATATATATTAGGCCTTTCTAGATTACAGAAAAAATGGCTTCATACAAAAAAAAATGTACAAAAAAGTTCTAAAATATAGAATAATCTATAATTATTGAATTACACATGCAAAAACTGTTCAAATATTATTCAATACTGAATCAAAATGCAGCAAATCTACAATATGTAAGTCTGAGATGATTGTAAGTTCTCTGTAAGCCTCCCACTTTCCCCTTTACTCGGTTACCTCTACGTGTCTGTTCTAGAAGAACAACTGTTTAGAAATAAATTCACACACACCAAGAAACTTAAAATCAGGTTAAGATACATGACGATATCTTCAGTAAATGGCGATAAGTATCACCATTATCCCATTCCATCACCATGTTACCACGCACAAGATCTAATCACAGAAAATATCCTCCTACTTCACCTACGTAAATCGTATTATACAACTTTCCATCCACAAAGAAGACTTACTAATTGAATTGAACTACTTAAACATCATAGATAGGGCTTGTACTAAACTCGAAAACCATAGAAAATATTATGTCAACTCTAACCTTTCACCTATCAACATAAAACAAAGCAAATTTGTTTCATTACCTTTTCTGCCAGAAATTACCAATGAAATTACTAGCCTATTTAATAATTTGTACACTGATATAAAAATTGTATTCAAACCTTCACATAAGATCAACACCTTACTACATAACAATAAATAATCCTTACTTAAGAAACAAAAACAAGGCATATGTAGTATCACATGTGAATGTGGAAATAAATACATAAGACAAATGTCAGGTCCTTTAGAAACGAGATGCAAAGAACACCAAGGTCACACGTATAGAGGTGAATTCCAGATATCCACTTTAACATATGATCAATATGAAACAGGTCACAAAATACTTTGGGATAAAATTTTTATCTCTTCAAGTTATGACTTTTGTTCTCGGTTGCTGCTTGACATAGATAGCTAAGCCATTTAAAATTACACACATAGAGGATATGAAATGTTTTAATTTTTTCTAGGTTTTACATATATAGTTGAATAACTACAAAATCATAAATTACCATATCAATACCATAGAATTCTACTATAATTTATCAAGTTTAGTAACTAAGTTGTATTTGGGTCTAAAAAAATATTAAATTTCGAGCAGACTAAAACACAACCTACCTCCTTTAAATCTTGGTTTGATAGATTGAGATGGCATCCTAACACATGAAAATGGCTGAGAAAGCCACTAGGGGACATTCTGAGCTTTCAATTGGACATTCAGATGTTATACATTGAAGTTAGTGTATATAAGGGATTGTTTCCAAAAATGGAAAGAGGTGAGCGGGGCCACTGTGTTTTATTCAGTTAACAAGTGATATCTCAGCAAATAGAAAAGATATGAGGTTCTTATTTTATATTCTAGCTTGTCAATATCAGTAATTTGAGTTCATATTTCATACGAAACTACAGACTTAGTATTTTGACTTCTCAAACATCTAATTTGAACCAGTGCTACATTCAACATACCACGTGACACAAAAAAATCGATGTTTATCTGTTTTTTTTATATTTATTATTAAATTAAGAACTTAAATAATGTATAATACTAAAATTTGAATTATAGTCTACAGTTTGATACCAAACTTAATGACATAAATTCATAAAACCAGTAAGTTAAGTCTACAATCTAGTACTAAAACTAAATTAAAACTTGTAACTACAGTATTTCCAATTTCTTCATCTCATAGCTCATAAATATGCAAAAACTAACCTCTACAGCTTCCCATAATTAAAGGCCATTTAACAAATATTCTTCCTAGTTTTGAATCGATCCAAATCATCCTGCAGTTTAATTTCACTGATGGATCCAAATCATCCCATAGTTTAATGTCACTAATTTTACTGATGGATCCCAATCATCCCATAGTTTAATGTCACTAATTTTATAAATTGATCCAAATCATCCCATAGTTTAATGTCACTAATTTTATAAATTGATCCAAATCATCCTGCAGTTTAATGTCACTAATTTTATAAATTGATCCAAATCATCCTGAGTTTAATGTCACTAATTTTATAAATTGATCCAAATCATCCTGTAGTTTAATGTCACTAATTTTATAAATTGATCCAAATCATCCTGTAGTTTAATGTCATTAATTTTATAAATTGATCCAAATCATCCTGTAGTTTAATGTCATTAATTTTATAAATTGATCCAAATCATCCTGTAGTTTAATTTCACTAATTTTACTAATTGATCCAAATCATCCTGTAGTTTAATGTCACTAATTTTACTAATTGATCCAAATCATCCTGTAGTTTAATGTCACTAATTTTACTAATGGATCCAAATCCTGTAGTTTAATGTCAATAATTTTACTAATGGATCCAAATCCTGTAGTTTAATGTCAATAATTTTACTAATGGATCCAAATCCTGTAGTTTAATGTCAATAATTTTACTAATGGATCCAAATCCTGTAGTTTAATGTCAATAATTTTACTAATAGATCCAAATACCACCTATCAATATCATTAATGTAAATATGAAAAAGGGATCAAGTAATAAGCCCTGAGGCACTCCTAGTAACAAATATACAGTTTCATTGGACTCCATTAATAAACTCTCCCATCCAATAATATTCCAAATCAATTAAATAACCCTTTTCCAACCACTATTCATATGACTTTCTTAACTGGTCCTTTGTGAAGCATCTTTTTTTTGAAAAAGCTAAGCACACCAATCAACACCCTGGCATCATCCTTGAAAAAGTACAACAGGTTAGTAGGACAAGATTAAACTTTGATGAATCTATGTTGGATTTAATATATCATTGAATTATTCTGTAAAACTTCTTTCATAACTGTCCAGAATTTTTCTTAATACACAAGGTGATTTGGCCCATGGTAACTCTTACCACTTCCTCGAAAAATAGTAGTAGAATTAGCATCTCTCCATTCCTCAAGCACCTGCCCAGTGTTTATTAACCTACAACATAATGTTCTCTTCAACTTTTCCCATGAACTGGTATACAAGTTGTCTCAAAAGTGTACTAAGAAAAAGTTAACACAAGTTTATCCCTAGATCATTCATTCATTGTGCCTTTTCTGCTCCAAATTAAAGATACTAGCATTTATTAAACACACAAGAGCATGATGTTTAGACATTGACATCAATTAGTACTCATTCCATAATTTTAGTGGTTTTCCTGGAATATTAACTTAGTGTAAAAAAGCACTTTTTTCTATGTATCTTTATAAAATACACAATACTATTTTAACATTGAAATAGTATTCACTTCAATAATTTATTAATTTGTTTCTATGTGTTAAAATTGAAAGCAAGCTGCTTACTGATTAGGCTTAAATGACCACACAGTCTTCTAATCTGATAACTGCTTACATATTTCAGTTAATTTTCGGTTGAAAGAATTTAAGGTAAATAAAGATTTGACAATACTTTATCACTTTGCAAACCCTTAAGATACCAGCACTCACTTGTTAAAACCATTTTTTGTGAGATCTAAACGTGGAAATGCTATGTGCAGCTTTTGTTAATTCTAAGAATTCATGAGAGGAAGCAAAGGAGAATACGTTATAACATGTCAATGACATTATACCTGCTCTATCCAGTACCAACGAGGCCTTTCGCCCAATACCAGGACTCATCAAGCCAGCTGGAATACGACAGGTACTATTGTGTTAATACACAACTACATGCAGTTCACATGATCCAGTTTCACTTAAAGGTGATATTGAAACATATTTTACATTGTACAATTTGTAGGAAGTCATATTTTACTAAAAACATGTTTTAATTTTTGACTTTCTTGTCAAAGAACTTGGATGATACTAATAGTAAGTCCTATATGTTTGTTTCAATTAGTTTAGTAATTTAGAATTAGATGGATTATGATGAACAACTGAAAAACCTATTCACAATCACGTTGACGTTAGATACAACTTAAATCAGTTTTACAGCAAGCATCAGAAAAAAACCCAACCACGGAAGAGTAAAGATATGAATTAGTTTACCGAAACATAAAAATGATCCTTAAACACTAATTCCACGTTCACGTTTATGTTAATACATGCAAGTTAAAACCGGCAAAAAAATATGGCGCATTCCCATCACAAAACGTGCCAGAAATACTTTTCAATATACAAACCTGATCCAGCTGTTTTTCGGCTTCTTCTCGGTGAACAGGATCTATTGTACCTTTCAACAGTTCAATTAGTTTACCTGTGTCCATTTTGATACTTAAAAAGTTAGTAATTTAAGTAATACTAACTAACAGTAGAAATATTTTATGCAACACACACAAGTGACGACAGACCGCGCCAATCACGACCATGTGAGCATGCGTGGCGTTTTACCCAGTGCATCCACCAGGATACCTTTTTATTATCAAAATGTAGATTTTATTTTATGTGCCATGAAATGTGACACTAATATTTCATGCAAATAAATCTACACTTAGAATAATAATAGTTATTTGTAAAATGTTGTTTAATTATAAATTCTCATTAGTGTCATCACCAAAGAAAAACAAATTTTCTGTGTGGTATTCTGAAGTATGGGCTTAAAGTTCTGATAAATTATCCCTGATTTGTTACAGCAGCCAAATGATTTCAAATTCATTTCGCACCAGTAGGATTATTTTCACCGTTGTTACTTTACAATGGGAGAAAAAAATCATAATATATTTTGTGTTTCTTAAAGGTAATTGATAAGGAAATATGTGAATTATGAGTGGTCCATGAATCTTCTATTATATAAGAAAATGTTGTCATGGCAACAGTCTCCCGGTAGGACAGCAGTAAGTCTTCGGATTTACAACGCTAAAATCAGGGGTTTCATTCCCCTAGGTGGACAAAGCAGATGGCCCGATGTGGCTTTGTTGCAAGAAAACACACACACGTGATGGCTACGAATTTCACACTTTTCAGAAAATTAAGGAAGTTGAGTAAAAAGAGCAATGGCAAAGAAATTGAGTGGAATAGTACAGTGTTAATTGTTATCTTCTGTTTGTTTGTTAGTTTCAAGTGAAGCACAAAGCTATACAATAGGATGTCAGTGCTCTGGCCACAATGGGTATTGATGCTCGGTCTCTATCGTTGTAAATCCGCAGACATGCCGGGGCTTAGCTTAATTTATTAAACAATTTGTATATTTGACAACTGTCTACTATATTCTGATTAGAATTAAACTTTGATTTGAAGTGATCTATATATTGTTACGTATCTGCTTGTTTGATAATTTCCCGTAAAAATTCTTTCCGAGAATCGTCAGCGATACAAGAACCGTCTTGATTAAAACTAGTTTATTCTTTCTCGTTACAAACTTTGTAATACACTTAATTTCCACAGTCACTTTAAACTTGATTAAAACTAGTTTATTCTTTCTCGTTACAAACTTTGTAATACACTTAATTTCCACAGTCACTTTAAACTTGATTAAAACTAGTTTATTCTTTCTCGTTACAAATTTTGTAATACACTTAATTTCCACAGTCACTTTAAACTAACTACTTTTATAAACACACGCTATAATTCACAGCGATTCACACACTTTACTTAAGGTGCCTACTGTTCACTTGACTCAATTATCTCTATCTTCAATCTATCTATATCTTTTCTATTTATCTGCCTATGGTCCTGGTTTTACTCGACAGGCTTATATATATATTAAAAAAGAGGGCGTCTCGAATGCACTTGGGCCTTCATGATCCTTCTAGAAACTCATCACGTGTTACCAGAGTCACGTGACTTCCGCTGTCGATATTCTCGACACCAATTAGTTATTAACAAAACCTTCTACAATCGTCTGCTTTTAATTCTTATTATAATAAAACTTAAAAATAATAAAGTATTCACTTACAAATATAAATTAATCACTAATATTTAAACCAAACAGTATTTTATATCATGAAAACCTCCTTTTCTGTGTATATATATATGTGCAGGTTTCACATAACATGTGGCAAGAAAGGCATTAAGCTCATCTCGTTCCTTTGTTATTCCCTAAAGTATAATACCTGTTCTACAGATGCATATATATAGCTGTAATACTAGACATTGTGTAAGGATATTTATAGCAGTTTCCTTCAATGATACTTCAGATGATATTTCAAGATTACGTCTTCCCTTATAATTCAATGGGATTCATCAATAGTAACATAAGTAGTACATGCATCCTGAGAACATAGTGTTACAGATACTTGGTATATAAGTTATGATTTTCCGGTTAACTCTCTTTTTGTATCTCAAGCTAAAGCCTTCAATCTGGTAAGTGAAATATAAATTATTTGTTTGCAAATAGGAATGCTCTCATAAATTTTAATCTGTAATATTAAATAAAACGTCTTATTAAATATATTTATAAGTTGTTAGGAAAGTATAGAAAGTTAGCTATATAGTAAAGGTGCTGTCCTTTGTCCTGCGCACATTATTCTGATTGTTTTTGAGTATACATAAATATTGTTTTTACTGTGCGTTTTACATTGTGTCTAGCCTCTTTTTCTCAAACTCAGTAAAAATCAGAGAATTCAGAATTATTTTGTAATAAATATCTAGTTGGACCTCCTGTTATTAAGCAGACTTATCCCAGAATAAAATGCTTATCAGTGACCAAATAGTAAGAAACAGACTCAAGTGTTGCTAAAAGTTAATAAAATTTGCTTAAGTTTTACAGTTCATCACATAGCTTGTTTGAACTTTTGTCATAATAAATGTATGTACTCTTCATTCATCAGTTGGACCTTCTGTATAGGCAAGAAGTACGTAGGCCTATTGTATATATATATATGTTTTTCCTATTACATAAACTTTTTAGCTCACTCCCAGTGGGTCTAGGGTTAACTTAGTTCAAACAGAGCTAGATGATCTCTTTACAGAGCTACAGTAGAATGTCCAGGTAAACATATTTACCTGCACATTTTAGCCCTTCCTCTTCATCAAGGTCTGCACCACGCCTTACTGATACATTCTAGTTGAACTTGTACACTCTGTACTCTCTGAGATTCATAAATATTGAGTGCTTTCCTGACAATTTGGGGATTATTACCAAAAATAATAATACAATTAACATGAAGAATGTTATTGGCCTTTTGTTTGAAACCATAATCACGTGTTTATGTAACTGGACACTGTTAATAATAACGTTTTTTACGTTATCTTACCCAGCCACCTTACAACTCTAATTTCCCCAACCCCCACTGATATGTTTTTTTGTTGTTTTTTTTCAGTTAGTCTTTTCTGTGGCAACTTATCAAATACCTTATAATTAATAAGGCAAGAAGATCCATGCTGGGTCTCTTATTAAATTTCATTTCAGTAAATAGTGTAACTTAAGTCCACACTCTATCTCTCATATTTAATACTACTCGATGACACCTACATAATTAGTTGAAATTCAGTGTCAGGCAAAGAAATATGGAAGCTTTTTATATTTCATAAATATGTGTGTATTTTGACCCCTATAAAGAAAGTGAGCGAAATTTTCTGAAATATTTTACTCAGAGAGCATGTTTTTGACAGAATCAAGACTTAGGCAATAAGAACACCAGTTTCTTTGTTCATTCGTTCGTTTGTTATTAGGCATAAAGCTACACAATGGGCTCTCTGTGATATGCCCACCGCGGGTATCGAAACCCTACTTTTAGCATTATAAGTTACCAGACTTAACGCTAAGCCAATATTGGGCACCGAACGAATGAACAGACTTGGCAGTAATTTTAGGTTATTATATCTACCAAGCCCCAAATGGGGTTGAGAGACAACCAGGGGCTTTCAGAAACAGTTGTTTCTCTTCAGCCCCACACGAAAAAGATTGATCATTATAATGGACACCAGTTTCTTCTTTTGCTTAAATATAGTAAAAACGAAAATGTATGTATGGAAAAACTGATTTTATATATTTATATTTAGTTATATGTTTGTTAAGAAACTATCAGTATACGCTCACCATAATCTTTGATTAGCCATAGTATAGATAGAGAAAGCATTAAATTTCATTTCAAGCAATAGAAACACTTCAAAAGTTTAACTGATAAGGGATTGTGAATCCCAGAGAAAATATACTGTCACGACATCGAGGTCACGTGACTAGTATCACGCCACGTCGTTCTCGAACATTCACGTCCTTTCCTTAAATCTCGTGATCCTTCTAGATATAGTGTAGTCTTGTATATATAAGACCGGCCACGAAGCGACGGGGAGGTGGAGTAATTGAATGTATGCTGACAGAGAGAATATTGCTGGGCACGTGAGACGTTCGTTGAGAATTATAGCGTTTGTTATAGAGCGACCGTTGAAATTAAGTTTATCGTAAAGTTGTATTCGGAAAGAATAAACCAGTTTTATTTAAGAAAGGACTTGTGTCGCTAAAGTTTCGTTGGAACTAATTTACGGAAAATTAACTAACGAACGGAGACGTAACAATATATTTAATGCAAACTCACATGACACGGGGTAAATTGGTCTATACACTATACAGTGTGGACAACGTTTGGGTGGGTCATCTATGC